TAACTTCAAGTGGTTTGTGTGTGTGTGTGTGTGTGTGTGTGTGTGTGTGTGTGTGTGTGTGTCATATCCAGGTTTTGTGATGGTTTTTGTGGGGGGTGTGTGTGTGTGTGTGTGAGGTCTGGTAGGGTCTTCATCCATCTCACCCAGAAGTAGAATCCTGTCATAAACTGGTTCACAAAGAACACTTTGAATAGCACTGGTCTAAACCACTATCTCAACGATGGCTCCGTTCAGAATGGAGTTTGTAAGTTTCCCTTCCATAGTTTTCTGCCTGATGTTTATAATTAAGGGCTCAATAACAGACAATGTCAATGCCAGTGGAAGAATTCCAAGTTCAGGCAGAGAAGGCAGGAGGAGCGTTAATAACATCTGCCTATTGTTTGGTACTGATTGACTCAACAAAGTTCATCTGATGTTAAGTAGTCTGGCCTTTACAGATTGTTCTCAATGAATTTCTCTTCTTTTCTGACCTTCAACCTCCTGTGACCTTAGCTGCTGAAAAGTATAAAGCAGAGGAAGTCCTTAGGCAAGAGGTATACCTGGACCTGTGCCCACAGAGGTGGCCTTTTCCCTTCCACTAAAAAAATTGTGTGGGATTCTCTGGTGGTCCAGTGGCTAAGACTCCACGCTCCCAATGCAGGGGGCTCGGGTTTGATCCCTGGTCAGGCAACTAGATTCCCCAGGCCATAACTAAGGGTTCGAATGCTGCAACTAAGAGTTCGCATGCCGAAACTAAAGATCTCGTATGCTGAAACTAAGACCTGGCACAGTCAAATAAATTAATAAATAATTTTAAAAATTGTGTTAAAACACACATAATGTAAAATTTTCTATCTTATCTTAAATGTACTGGTCAGTAATATTAAATGCATTCATAATGTGTAACCATCACCACCATCTATCTCCATAATTCTTTTCACCTTGTGAAACTGAAAACTCTATGTGCATTAAAAAAAAAAAAAAAATCCTCATTCTTTCCTCCCCCAGCCCCTGGCCACCACCATTCTGCTTTCTGCACTATGATTTTGACTAATCATGCAGTATTTTTCCTTCTTGCGAATGGCTTACTTCACTTGACTTAATGTCCTCTAGCTAAGCTAAATACATGACAGACACTGGGCTATCATAGCGACATAGACTATCTCACTGAATCTTCCCAACCGCTCAATTAAGTATGTATTATTATTATTCCATTTTACAAATGAAAAAAAAAAGGCTTTAAAAGGTGGTTACTTGTCCAAAGTCAGGTGCTAAGAGATGAAAGCAGGATTCACATCATCCAAGTTTGTCTGGTTCCAGAGCTCATGCTCTTTACCAGAGGTTAGCAAACCTTTCCTGTGAAAAGCCAAATAGTTAATATTTTAGACTTTGTAGGCCTACAGTCTCTGTCACGACTACTCAACTCTGCACTGTAGCATCAGAGAGGCCATAGGCAATGTGTAAACGAATGAGTGTGACAGTTTCCAATAACATTTAAGAAAATAGATAGTGGGAAAGATTTGGCTTGCAGGCTGTGGTTTGCTGATCCCTGCTCTTAACAAGTACACTATTCTGTTATTTTTTCCTTTGATCTCTAAAGATTTCAGTTCCGCGAATATTTATAGCATTGCTTCTAAGCACAAGGCATTGAACTTGGTCCTGAACAGGATGAAGAAGATAAAGTCCCTGCCTTGAGGAATCTCAGATTCGAAAGACAGTACATAAACACGACTACAGTAGAAGGCTGACTCTGCAAAGTTAGTGCCAAAGAGAGTTGTGGGCTGACTCCGGCATCTAACAAACATGATGTTTCAGTGGAGGGGCTGATATATGGCATAAGCTTTCTAGTGAGAGAATCATAGGCAGAGATGGTAAGGACAAGGTTTCAGAGAGAGTAGCCAACACAAGCAAGAATGTTTCTCTCCCCCATGGCTCATCTTTTGTTCCCTTTACCAGCATTCACTTTCATCGCCAAAACCATACGCACTTTGGTCCGAATCTTTTTGCCTTGCACCTCACCTACTTTCTCCCTTGCTTTTCTTTTTCCCCCATTTCTTTTTCCTTTCTTTTTTATTTACTTATTTTCACTTCTTGATTATTGAATCATTGCTGATGCAACTCTTCTGCAGTGGGCTGAATACAAGAACATATCACAAATTTCATCTGAAGTTTAACTCACGTACTTCTACGTGGCGGCCGCTCATCCTAAGTCATGATTATGTACCATTTAAAAAATGCCATTTAGCCCAAGTGACATATTAACTTAGTTCTGTCAATTCAGCCAGGGTTGAAATCCTCTAGTCAATTCCAGGCAGTCAATAACACCCCACTGTTTGGCCAATTTAATATCCTTTTGTTTCTTATACTCACCCATACTTCTAGTCTGTCCTGTTAATGTCTCTATTTCTCTTTTAATCTTCTTTATAAATTTTTTCTTCCTCTCTTGCATCCTTCCTCTTTCCTGTACTTTTTGAATTGTTGACCTTCCTCTGGAGGCATGTTATTTCCTTTCTCCTTTCTGAAAATATATTTTAAAAATATCTTTTGTTCATTAACTTAATTGACATTTACTAAGCAATTACCACATAGCCGGCCCTTTTCTAGATACTGGAGATACAAAAGTTAAAAAAAAAAAAAAGGACAACAATCTTTGTCCTCATGGAGCTTAAACGTTCTGGCAGTTCACAAAATAAAGTAACGATAAATAAATAGGTAAGTAAACGATATGATATAGAAACTGTTAAGGGCTATGGAGAAAAAGTCCTGAGGACCAGGAATTTGGGTGGTGTGTTACAGTTTTAAAGACTGATAAGGGAAACCCATTAAGAGGTCCTTTGAGCAGATGAAGGAAGTAAACCACACAAGTATCTGCTGGGAGAGCATTGAAGGTGTTCCATGCAAAAGGAACAGCATGTGCAAAATCCTGAGGCAGGAGGGTACATCCCCAGGTGGGGTACAAGGAGGGCAGGGTGGCTGAAGCTCAATGGATGAGGAAGAGGCTAGTAGATGTGATCAGAGTCGGGGGAGGACGAAGGACGTGCCCTATTTAGGGACTCTTCCATTGGAAGAACTTTGGTTCTTGTTCTGAGTGAAATGGAAATCCTTTAGAGGGTTTTGAGCAAAGTGAAATGTTGACTTATAATATTTTTAAAGGATCTAGAATGTAGGGAGGCAAGAGAAGAAGCAAAGAGAGCAGTCAGTTCATACTGCAATATTCCAGGTAATGAATTTGAATATTATGGGACATGTTTTCTGGAAGAATCAGAGTAGTTACTTTTGTTTTACAATTAAGGATAGAAAACTAAGGCGTAAGGTTTTTTTCCTTAATTAATTAATTTTTGGCTGTGTTGGGTCTTCGTTGCTGTGCGTGGGCTTTCTCTAGTTGCAGTGAGCGGGGGCTACTCTTCATTGCGGTGCGTGGGCTTCTCATTATTGTGGCTTCTCTTGTTGCGGAGCACGGGTTCTAGGTGTGCAGGCTTCAGTAGTTGTGGCACGCGGGCTCAGTAGTTGTGGTGCACGGGCTTAGTTGCTCCGCAGCATGTGGCATCTTCCTGGGCCAGGGCTCGAACCCTTGTTCCTTGCGTTGGCAGGCGGATTCTTAACCACGGTGCCACCAGGGAAGTCCAAGGGGTAAGGTCTTGATTGGTGACAGTATGTTTTCCTATTCCCTGTTCTTCAGGGGAAAATTGGGAGATTTTGCCCTGCTAGTTTAAGGATCGTTAAACATTTTGAATGGTCTTGAGCACTGCCAGGTGATCTAATGCCTGGCACATAGTAGGTACATAGAAATACTTGTGGAATGAATGAATATGTAGTCAGTTAAATGGGTAAGGCTGAATTACAATATCAGGTGACTTGCTTGTTCATGTTTCAGCTCTCCTGCATACTCTGGTGGTGTTTACTGGGTCTTTAAATTTTATTTAGCAAAGAACATCAAAAGTGCTACGTTATAAACACACACTTACTCTTCCAGTAAAAATGTAGCGGGTACTATTTACATATTTTAAATGGTTCCATAGCAATTTGTGTAGTCCTCTGTCATAGTAGTAATCAACTGTATTCAATTATGTTTGCATGTCTCTCTCTCAATAGTCTTTGAGTTTCTTCAGGGTTGGGATCGTCTCTTATTGATATTTACACAGGCGTCCCTCTGTATCCATGAGTTCTACATCCGTGGATACAGAGGGCCAACTATGGGCTTTGGGCTTGAGCATCCACGGATTTTGGTGTCCATGGGAGATCCCGGACCAATCCCACACAGATACCGAGGGACCACCGTTTGTCCAGCACCTAGCATGGGTGAAAGGACATATACATGATATGATAAAGCGTGGTGGAAAGAAAACATATGAGTTACCAACACCCCAGAGAAGCCTTGTCTGATTCCTATAAAATATACTCATTTCCCTTAGAAAAACACAATTCTTACCCTACCTATGTAGAATTTAGCTCCTTGACATCTAATTGTATATAAAGCCCTCGATGAGGTGGAACGACGTATTCTCATCCCAAGCAGGCCTGGTAAATGAACTGTTATCGTCAGTAAATGATCAGTACGAATTGGGAAGTGAGCTTCCAGGGTCTGAGACTTGCAAGCTGGAGACAGACTGCTCCAGTTCCGGGTGGGTCGGTGTGGGCACTGGTCAACCCACCCAACCGCAGGATCCAGGTCTTCAGCCTTTTCCGCCGGGGGAGCCTCTGCAGGACTCCCCACCCTTCCTCATACCCCTCCCGGGGAGACCCCCTCTGCCCGCACCTCCCCCCCTCAGGATGTCCCAGTGCCCCATCCAGACTTCTCTGGGATCCTCCACCCTCCTGCCTTCCCCGCCCCCTCAAACACAACTTCCGCCCGCGCCCCCTCCCCACAGGCCGAACTTCCGGCCGGCGCCCCCTCCCTACAGGCGGGACTTCCGTCCGCGCCCCCTCCCCTAACCGAGCCGTTGCGTCCTCCAGCCCGAGGCGAGGCGGGGCGCGTGCTCTCGCGCTCTCCCAGCCCGGCCACGGGCTACAGCGGCGCAGAGGCGGCGGCGGCGGCGGCGGCGTCAGGAGGCTGCGGGCGCGCTCCTCCCCCTTCTGCCTTCCCTCCTGCTCCTCCTCCTGCTGCTCCTCGTCGTCGCCAGCTCGGCCCGAGCTGCGAGCGGCAAGATGGCGGCGCCCAGGCCGCCGCCCGGCAGGCTGTCCGGCGTCATGGTGCCCGCGCCCATCCAGGACCTGGAGGCTCTCCGTGCGCTGACGGCGCTCTTCAAAGAGCAGCGGAATCGGTAACGGCCCGGGCTGCGGGAGCGGGGCGGGGGCGCGGCCTCTGGGGAGCGGGCCGCCCCCTCCTCCCGGGACGTCCGCGGCGTGGCGGCCTCCGCGATGCGCCCGAGGGGCCCCGGGCCGCCGATGCCAGGCCCGCGTCCTCCCGCGCCCGGTCCCCGAGGTGCCCCGGGGGGCTGACACCAGCTCCCCGCCCGTCAGTACAGGTGTGAAGCCGGGGTGCAGGAAGGGGGACCGAGCCAAGTGAGGCTTTGGCCGCTTGCTGCCTGTTTGGTTAGTTGAGTCGCGTTGATGGCGCTCCTGTAATGGGAACAGACCCACAGGACGCCGGAGTCAGCATACGTGCTGGTGGGGGAGAGACACGTTACAGATGTGTAAGGTGGGAGGTGGCGTCACTCCATTCGGCCTGTCAGCTCAGGCTTTGCATCCCCAGTGGTGGCCGCGCTTTGTGGAGAGGCCACTTCAATCCTTACTCTGGCATTGAAGGGCCAGATGGCCATTGTCAAAGGTGCCCAGGAGCCTGACAGACCTGGATTTGGTTCCTGGCCCTACAAGCTGTGCGTGCGTTATTGTGCAGTATTTCCAAGCCTTAAGATTTCTTGCGTAAAAATGGGAATATAATACATGACTTCATTTCTGAATTGTACAGAGGAATAAATGAAATAAAGCATGTGAAAATATAAAGTATGTGATGCCCTCAGTCAGTGCCTGTTTGATTTTGTTCTAGTCTTTTCTGGGCCTCAGTTTCCACGTCTGTTTAATAGGAATAATGTTGGACAGTACCTTTCTGGGGACATTGTTTGTCAGGATTAAATGAGATAATGCATATTAAATCCTTAGCACATACCTGACACATAGTACTAAGTAACTGCTAGCTGATATTATCCTTTAACGCATTTATGGATGGTCCCCCATGTGCCAGGTTTTGTGTTAGGTGATGAAGTTGAAAAATAAAAAGTCTTCTCCTGGAAAGTCCTGTTCTGGGGAACCAGCAGATAGCAAAGAGTAGAGGGAGCATAGAAGTCCTAGAGGTCCTTTTGATCTGAGCACTTCTACTGCCTTAAATCACAATAAGAAGTGTTGAGCAATTGGAAGAGTGCTAAGAGCCCAGGGCACTGCTCCTTGGGATTTGGGGGAAATAGGTTAATTGATATGACACTCTGGGAGATGTGTTGAATGAGTTACTGCTTGAACATATCTATACCATGAGGACCCTCCTTTTAGTCAGTAATCAGTTATCTACCTTTATTAAGCACCTACTCTGAAACAGGTTCTTTTCTAGAGGCTGAAGGTGCAGAGATGAATGTGATACCCCCCTTTTTTTAAGCATGTTGGAGTAATTGCTGTGTAAACAGATTGTAATGGGGGGTCTAGACAAGAAGAGGTAGTGGCACAGGGGGAACTGCGGACCTCATGGGTAGATTGGTGGGCCAGGAAAGGTTTTAGATTACTTTGGCTTCGTGGCTTACAGATGAGAGGGCTAATTAGAAAGAACAGTATGTGCAAAGGGACTGTGTGCTGATTTTGCATAGTTTCTGAGTGGTCTAAATGAAATAACATAGGTAAGGTGTATGGTACAGAGGAGATGGTCAAACATCAGGACACTATAACCTGGAGGATAAAATCCGAGACCCCGAGCCAGTTTACAAGACCTTTCTTGACTTTGTCCCTTGAGAGGGGAACCGTTGAAGGTTCTTTCAAGGGCATGGCATGGCAAGATCTGTATATTAGAAAGATCTCTGACTGCCACTGTTGGGGATACATTAGGGTGAGGGTAGAGGCAGGGGACTTTTAAGAAGATGCAGAAGCCCAAGTGAAAGAGAAAAGTGCCTGAATTTAGGATGTTATCTATGGGGTGGGTAGGATAAATATTGAAAAATATTTACAAGATTGAATAGATAAGACTCAGGGACCAATTGAATGGTTGGGGAAGAATGAGGAAGTGAAGATGTGTCCCATATTTGATTTGAGTTTTTCCTGGGGCTGGCAGGAAGTTTGTCCTAATTCCAGGCGGAGTTTGAAGACCAGGAAAGGTGAACTGATGTGCAGGTCTTGGGATAGGGAGGCATATAGTTGTGTGGTGGGGCAGAGAGCCCTTGATGAGAGTTTGTGAGATCCGGCTTCTGGTCCTGATTCTGCCACTACTTCTTTGTGTGTCTTTGGGCAAATCACCCTCACAGAAACTCAGGGGGTTTCCAGAGTCCAGCTGCTCTGAGAGGATCCATCCAATGTCAATGGACCGAGAAGGAGGATGGACCAAGGTGTTAGGAGTTGGATGGGATGTAAAGTGAAGCAAAATAAGGCCTCAGAGTAGCAAATAGAAAAACACCGGCCAAAGCAAAAACATACTGAGGAAAGTAAGAAAGTAATTGATGGAACAAAAGAATTCCTCCTCCCTTGAGTGTGGGCTGAACTTAGTGCTTATTTGTAAATGATAGACCTGGGGGAAATGACAGTGTGTGACTTCTGAGACACAGAAGTCCGTGCAGCTTCCCCTTTGCTTTCTCTCTTGGATCACTCACTCTGACAAAGCCAGCTGCCATGTTGTGAGGACACTCAAGCGTCCAAGTAGAGAGATCTGTGTGGTGAGGAACTGAGGCCTCCTGCCAGCAGCCATGTGATGACCATCCGGGAAGTGGATCCTCTCAGTCCCGGTCAAGCCCACAGCCATGTGTGCAAGCTCACGAGAGACTCTGACCTGTGTGAGACCATAAATGGGTTTGTTTTAAACTGCTCAGTTTGGGGGTAATTTGTTATATGTATTGGTATATAGATCATCAGTATACCAAGCTAAAATTTTCGTCCTCTGGATTAAATCCATGTTCTATAACCCACTCCTTGAATAGTGTCTTAACCACTAAAATCTGTAAAAAAAAAATTGCTTATGGTCATAAAATATCAGTACCAAGAGGCTATTCAGTTATTTCTTCCTTGTGGAAGGTGGTTCTTTTTATTAGTTGTTTTAAATTTGTTTTATACCTTTTTAATGTACGCATCTGCATTTTTAACATTTAACAAGTGATTTTTCTTGGCTGTGCTCCGAGTCTTTACAAGTCATGCTAGATTCTTTCTGGAACAGAGTAAGATGTAAATACATTAAGAATTCTGTTTTCAGCCTTCTCCTGGAGGTTTTATTTTCCAGCCCTTTAGTTACCCTTATGATGTATTTCTTCATCATTTATCTTTATGACGTATGCAGACTCCTCTATTAAAGTGTAGAACCAAGTGAGATTGGTTGGCATACTCTATACCACCACTGTCTGTGCAGCCACTCGTGACATGTGGCTATTAAATTAATTAGCATTAAGTAGAATTAGTAATTCCATTCCTTGTACCAGCCACATTTGACGTACTCGGTAGGCAGTCACGGGTGGCTGGTGGTTAACCTTATTGGACCGTGCAGATACAGAATTGTTCCATCACCACAGTAAGCTCTGTTGAGTAATGCTACTCTGTTTTTTTCTGTAGGGAAGATTATGTTCTGGTTCTTGAGTATTCATGAAACAGTGTAACATTTGGATACTGCTTTCTGTAAATTCTTCTCATGCTTAAACTGATACCTCATTGCTCTTCCATCCGATAAGCTTCTTGAATAAAGTGTATCACACTCCCTGTATCCCTAGCATCTAGCATACAGTCTGATAATTGTAGGTGCTTAACAAATTGCCGCTGTTTGTGTAAGTGATTACTCATGGTGCGTGCATAGTCTTTTTTCTTCCATGTTCATGTAGATAATAATTTTTTTAAGCTTCTCTCAGTGTGGCTACTTTTTTCTTGTTAACCTATGTTTAGTCAAAATTATTTTTCTGATTACTTCCTTCATGGCCTTGTATATCCTATATAATAGTGCAGATACTTCCCTCCATACTTTGGGACCCCTTTACCTTATAAACTATTTTCCCTTTTTTAAAGAAAGAACGTGTTAGATTCTAACATATTTACTATGTAATTATTAATAGTAGTTTCTTATTTGTTCTCTGTCTCCTTCCAGAATGAAGGCCTATGAGGACAGAGATGGTTGGCTTTTTTGTAATTATCCTGTTTGGATAATGCTTCTTGAATTGGGTGTCTTTGAACAGTTTAGGAAATTGTCAGCCAGTGTTTCTTCAAATACTGCTTCTCTCCTGTTCTTTCCTTTCCTTCAAGGACTGTAATTACACATATGTTAAACCTTTCACTGTATTTTATATCTCTCAAAGCCTCCTTTATGTATTTCCCATTCTCTCTGAGCTTTGGTTATTTGAAATTTTTCTGCTAACTTGCCTTCTAGTTCTCTATTCCTCTTTTCTGCTATGTCTAATGTGCTATCATCTATTGTGTTCTTAGTTTCAGGTATTGTAGTTTTGAGTTATTGCAGAATTTCTGTTTGTTTTTTTTAAATGGATTTTACTCTGTTGAAATTCATTTTGTCATTTACCTTCTTAAGCATATTAATTATAGTTTTTTTTAGAGAATGTGCCTGATAACTATCTATTGCCATTTTCTGTCTTCTTGTGTTTAGTCATTTGGTCCTATCTTTTATTGAATGCTGAATGTCGTGTAAGGCGTGTTAAGCCCATTTCCAAAATATTTGCGAACTCTAAACCAAAGTCAATCTAAAAATTATTTCAACAAATAGTGGTGGTAGAACAACTTGATATCTAATTGGAATAAAGTGAACTTTGACCCATACCTTGGACCATTCACAAAAAATATTTCAACGTGGATTGTAGACCTAAACATAAAAGCTAAAACTATAAAATGTTTAGAAGATGGGAGAATATCTTTGTGATATTGTGTGTAGGCAGACATTTCTTATCTAGGACACAGATAACATTAACCTTGCAATAAAAAACTGATTATCAAGCTAGACTTTATCAAAATTAAAAAAACTTCTGCTCATCAAAAGGCACCATTAAGAAAATGAAAAAGGCAAGCCATAGACTGAAAATATTTGCAATACATATATCTGACAAAGAACTTGCTTTGGAATATATAAACGTGCTCCTGCAACTCAATAATA